CCCATATCTGATACTCTAACAAGTTCTACCACCTCGGCTCAGGGCGGACCTGGGAACACCAGCAATTAAGAGGGGGTTATACGCTCATCAAAACCTCCTGATCAGAGGCCTTGCTGCCGGATGTAGTTACAGATTGAAGGCAACAGGTACAAAGGAAACCAAAATACTACGACAGTATAGAAATACATTTTTATAGTAAAAATACCAGCAATACATTTTTATAATAAAATTATCAGTAATCCATATATATAAATATATATATATATATATATATATATATATATATATATATATAATAAATTAATTGATTTAAAATGTTTTTTTCGCTACACAGTTCTAACTATGTTTCAAAAATGGAAGCTGAAAGCCCCGAATTTAATTTTGTAATTAAATTTGCTCCATTTCATCCTCAATCGAATTTTGGAGTAACTTTTAAAATTACTGGGTTTTAAAGACACGGCAAAACCATAATTCACGTTTCCAAGGTTACAGAGAAATCCATTCATCCAGACAAGGGGTGTTTGCGTGTTCATTATAGCTGTTACGTTTTGGTAGGGGTAGGGATGTATTTTTCAATGAAATCTAACATCCGTTAAATGCATGTCGTCTGGATTTAAAAAAAATTTTTTATTGTTAACGGCAAAAATTCTTACGGCATTTTTTTCCCCCTATTTGTATATTTAAAGATTTTTGCGGGCGTGTTTAGGTTAGAATACGTTTTATTTAATTACGATTTGAAAAATATTTTCACTTTTAATTTTTAATATACTATATTTCTTTTAAGAACAAGTAAATATATTAGAAATCCCTTACATTATGTAGAATTATTTTCACATCAAGTAGAAGTATGTATATTCTTAGGTAACATTTTTTAAAAATTATATTTAAATATTATTTAAGTAAAATTTATGACAATGACTGCAAAAATAGCTAATTTCACTGATTTAGTAAACTTTTATTTTTTATATAAACGTAGTAATGAGAACTATCTAGGGAGCTTGAATAAATGGATGACGGAACAAGGTATCGGAAAGATAAAAAGACAAAACTGAAGGAAAGATTAATCATCAATTATAAGAAAACAATGTATAGTCATTAGTAAAAGGGTCATCCCAAGATGCAAGCTACGAATTAGAGATAGTAGTATTGTAACAGACGATGGAAAAGGTAACATGGAAGTCCGAAGGAATGCTGGAATAGCGAAAATTAAGTATTAAGAAAAAGGAAAATGTCGTTAGAAACAAAGAAAAGAGCGCTGAAATGCTATGCAATATAAATCCTGTTACATGACAGTGAATCCTGGTCAATTTCCTAACAGATACAGAGGAGACTTAAAGCAACGGAAAATTGGTTCTGCAGAGGGATGCTGAAAATACCATGGACAGAACATGTGATCAACGAGGAAGTTTTAAAGGAAAATGGTATCGAAACGAAAACTTCTGATTAGGGTCAGGAAAAGATGTTAAATAATAGTTTCTGATTATTATTTTTGTTTATTTTGGCTCAAATTTTCTGAGGCTGACCTTTAAAGTCAGATGGTATACAAAATAGGGATGTTGATTTTGATTGGCCGAGCCGAACATAGGAATGAGTTATAGATTAAGGGAGTTGATGTTCGGACGCCAGACTAACTAGACATGTTAGAATGCAGTTCTACAAACCCCCTCCTCGCAGTGGGGAAGGGCCGTTCGAGAGTTGGTTGTTGCATGTCAAAGGAAATGATTGTTAGATTTTGGTATAGGAACCTATGAAGCGTGTCCTGTTTATAAGGGATCCTGTTCTTTTTAATTTAATTTTATTTTCTAGTTTACGTGTGTAAACGCTGACAGTTCTCTGCCCATCCATCTTACTTCATGTAACTGGAATATCTTTTAAGGTTTTTATTGATTGACTGATTTGCTTTTTATGGTTTAACCTTTTGTGGGATATTTAAAGCCAGAAAATATTTCTAGACTGAGAATTTTTTGTTAGTTGGTTTTGTTTAACAGCATGTCAAGTCTCTATGGGTGACTTAATGCCGAAAGCTAATATTTTGAACACAATTTATGGCTTCAACTAAATATATTTTCTGCGTAAAATGTATTGTTGGTACTTTTTTATTGCAAAATGTATTGCAGGGTGTTTTACAATAAAAATGGATTTCTGGTAATATTTTTTTTAATATAAAAATGGATTGCTGGTAATATATTTTTTTTTATATAAAAATGGATTGCTGGTAATACTTTTTTTTAATATAAAAATGGATTGCTGGTAATATTTTTTTTTATATAAAAATGGATTGCTGGTAATATTTTTTTTTATATAAAAATGGATTGCTGGTAATATTTTTTTTTTTTATATAAAAATGGATTGCTGGTAATATTTTTTTTTTATAAAAATGGATTGCTGGTAATATTTTTTTTTATATAAAAATGGATTTTTTTTTTTTATATAAAAATGGATTGCTGGTAATATTTTTTTTTTTTATATAAAAATGGATTGCTGGTAATATTTTTTTTTTTATACAAAATGGATTATTTTTATTTTATGGGTGACTTTCGCAATTAATTTTAATTATTCCTAATTTATAAAAATTGTTATCGTACAAAAAAAATTAAGTAAAATATCATGTAAATAAACCGCCGAAAGCAGCAATGGAAACTTTGAATAAAAAATTCAGGATTGCGGCTCCAGATCCAGCCAACGCGTTTTAATTTGCTCACGGGGTCGACCTGATTCCAAAATGGTATGATATGTTGGGATACGGCCTCTAGGAGTAAAGTTGAAAAAGTGTGGCACACTGACACACAGACGTGTGTGTGTGTGCGTGCGTGTATATATATATATAAATGACACCAGTAATAAAATCATTATTAGTCTAAAGAAGTTCGTTCTAGGAACAAAACGCGCTATGTAGATGTTTATTTTCTTTTGTCATTCAATTACCCGTCAGTCTGATACATAGATTTGTCTATTATATATCTTCCATCATCTTCGCCAACATAATTTTCTCTAAATGGGTCACCGTATTGTCTCTTAGCGTATTGTAACTAAACAGTAACAGTGGATTTAATTTTTATATCAACCGAGGTCCCTATTCAAAAGTAGAAAATGAGAGAAGAAAAAATGATTGACCACTTTTTTTTTTATCCCATTGATTTTTTTTCTGGATGAGCACGATAATACCGGCTTTTCAAAAACATCTGACTGGAATTTAAAATTAAAAAGATCTACCCCCCCGCTACTTCCCTTACAAAACTGATTCTACGATAAGGATTAAACTTGAGTGTAGCAATAAGAAATAACCATACTCGATTAAGATTCGATCTCTTGTATCGAATTGAGATTCCCAAAATACAATGGATAATCCGATTATTGAAAGTTTTTTTTTTTTTTATCGAACGACATTTTTCAAGTCTTTACATGTCATCGACACAGTAAAGAGAACCTTTTTCAATACAAACCAAAAAAAAAAACAACAAAAAAACATGCCGATATTGCATTATTTTATATCAACGCCACCTTTTCTGACATATTAATCGCAAAGGTAATTTTAAATTATTTGCTAAAATTAGTATTGCTTGACCCAAACAGAACGCCCCTACTCGAAACATTAGCTGATACTGAGACACGTTTGTTACATATCACTCCACAAGCCACGATCTAGTAAACACTCTGTAGAGATGCATTGGGTTAATAGTGAGTCAAATCTGATCTTTTGAGGGATTTACCCATTTTTTGTTTTTGACCCATTTTTTGTTTTCCGAGATACAAAAAAACAAAAAAAACCCAGAACTCCCTATTAGTGAAGATAGAAGGAAATCATTTTATACGAAAAATCAAGAAGAAGAAGAAGTGCGAAAAAGAGGAGCAAGAAGAAGAAGAAGAAAGTCAAGAAGAAGAAAAAGAAGAAGAAAAAGTCAAGAAGAAGAAGAAGAAAAAGAAGAAGAAGAAGAAGGTTTAAAGTCAAGAAGAAGAAGAAGAAGAAAAGAAGAAGAAGAAGAAAAAGTCAAGAAGAAGAAGAAGAAGAAGAAGAAGAAAGTCAAGAAGAAGAAGAAAGAAGAAAAGAAGGCGGAAGAAGAAGAAGAAGAAAGTCAAGAAGAAGAAGAAGAAGAAGAAAGTCAAGAAGAAGAAGAAGAAAGTCAAGAAGAAGAAGAAGAAGAAGAAAGTCAAGAAGAAGAAGAAGAAGGCGAAAGTCAAGAAGAAGAAGAAGAAGGCGAAAGTCAAGAAGAAGGCGAAAGTCGAGAAGAAGGCGGCGAAAGTCGAGAAGAAGGCGGCGAAAGTCGAGAAGAAGAATGAAATGATTTTGATTGATTATTTTTTATGATTTACCAACCCGTTGTGAGTTATTTGAAGTCGGAACATGTTTTGGATTGTTAGTATAATTCTTTTTTTTTTTTTTTCGAATGAACACTGATTTTTTTTTTTGTGGGAACAATGTTACTGAAATGACACCTCACCTGAATGAGGGTCATGAAAATGGACTTATATATGCGTCAGTAAAATTATAGAATCAAAATACATTAAAAAATGTGTATAAAAAGCCAGAACGGAAAATGAAAATTGAAAAAAACAAAAAAGAAATGAATGAATAAGGTAAATGTAAAAATGCTAAAGCCAGAAATGTACGGAAAAATATACCACCTAAAATTATATGACAATATCTCATCGATTGTAGAAACATTGAAAAGAACATTACAGTTAGAAACTGAAAGGATAAAATGATCTAGAAATTGAACCAAATTCTTCCAGAAAAATAAAATATTTCACACCGATGGAAAAAATTAAGATTTACGGAGAAATAAAAAAAAAAAAAAAAAGAAGTAAATTATCCTATTAATATCCACTGTCCTAAAAATGGAACGGATTTAATAATGGATTTTTTTTATTTTTTATTTTCGAAATAAATACACGATTCTCTGGCGGCCATTAATGGGTTAAAATTAGAAGTAATGCCTGAAGCAGGATTGAAGGAATTTTAGATGAAAATTTGGAAGAATGAGAAGGTTTATAATAAACACTCACAATGAACTGAGAAAGAACAGAATTGCAAAGATATGGACAGGATAGTAATATTTCCGAATTGAAAGATATGCCCCCCCCACGCCGCCCGCCTACCCAAATAAATAAAATAAATAATCGTAGATGTTTCACTCGTTCTAAGCTTCCCAGCTAGTACCGGCCATGATAAGCGCATTGTAGCGAACCGCCCTCATTCTCTTCGTATTCCATTGGTGAAAAGTAAGTTCCACTCGAGCAGCTTCATCCCATGAATCACTGCTCTGTGAAACCGACTTCCATGAGGATATTTTCCCGATCACTAAAATCTCCATCTGTTCAAGGCTAGGGTTAACTGTTATCTTCTCCACATACTCGCATAAACTATACGTCTTACTCTGTAATTCTCTACCTTGAGTGGCTCTCGGGTCCTGTAGAGTCTGAATCCCACTGTAAAAAAAAATAAAGAAAAAAATGTAATTCTACTGATATTGATAAAGCAACCAATTTTTGGTTTTCTTTTACATACATTCAAAACTTTGATGTAATGTTTAGCAAGCTTGTTTGACTAGATCAGTTACGACTGATTAGCGAGTTCGATCCTCACAGCTTTCTCCCATCCTTTCGGAAAAGTGTAAGCTACGCCTAGAAAATCAGCATACAGGTTTGTTTAATAAACTCTTGTTCACACTTGAGAAAACAACAACAAAAAAACAAATCGACTTGAAAGAAGAAGAACATACTATCTGCCGAAGAGTTTTGACTATCTATAAAATCCTGTCATTAATGCTGTTAAAGCGAAAATATATTTACCGGAAGAATAATAATTTGTTCCACATAGAACAAAAATGTGTCTCTACTCCTGATAGGCCGCCTTATTCTAAACCAAAAAACAAAAAACAAAAAAAAATAAAAAACGATACAGATGTACCACCGGTTTACCGGCACCATTGGTTCTAGAACGATGCACACTAGACGGAAATGACTTCAATTGCTCGAACAATGTTTATTAGTGACTTTCTTCAAAGTTATAGATAATATTCCATATATTATTACTTCTCGAAATTAATCTAAATATTCATACCTCGAAGCGGCGTTTGTGCCACTGAAGTCTGCCGAACATTTTGACGCCCCCCCCCCTGCACCTCTAAACAACATTTCAAAACTGGACAACATTTTTCCAAAACATAAGATTCCATTTACAGCAATTTATTTTGTTTTGATTCTTACAGCCATATTACGTTGAAACATCGGTTCTCGCACGTCACCGAAGTTAAGCAATATAGGGCTTAGTCAATACCTAGATGAGTAACCACTTGGCAATACCAATGCCGGTAGTGTAATAGATAACAACTCGGAATTGAATTCAGAGAGCAGTATTCCAATTCCAATCGGGTCTGTTATGTTCATTTATGCGCACATACTGTTCAGAAATGAACGAATCTATTTCTCCCATCTATGGGTTAATTAGTAGGGCTCGTATCAGTAAATCATTATCTCAAAAAACAATTGTTACAATCTAAAATATTTTTCTGTCTTTAAATAACTCGCAAAAGGTTGATAAGCAGTAAAAAACATCTCAATGTAGAAGAAACAACAAACTCAGCAGCAAAATAAGATGGAAAAACAATTAATCTAAACGTTTTACTATTTACTTTCTGTTCTTGAATATATATCTTTCATAAAAACTTTAATAAAAATAAATAGTTTAAAATATTACAATGATATTTATTATTATTATTATACATTTCCCTCTTCAGGGCCACCCCCTCATTCAAATTGTTACCCCCTCTCATTTGGGGATGCGCCTCAGTTACACCCAAATGTTGTTACTAATATTGATTTTCGGGTGGGCTGATTTAAAACAAACTGCTCCAAGTGAACGATGAAAATTCCCAGTAATGAAAGACCCAGTCGAAGTCGAGTTATACTGTTAGAAATAAATTTAACGACTTTTTAGTAAATAATTTTTAAGATAAAAATGCTATTACATTAATAATATAGGCTCTCTAAAAAGACTATCAGTGACTTACTCAGAGTAAATGTTCAGCGTATTGACTATAAAGTAAATTTTGGTAAAGAAAAATGCTACAAGTAGAACGAGAGAGAGAGAGAGAAAAAAATGATAATTTTGCATACAAATTCGTTTAAATGTCGGCGTTGAAATCTTGCCGCCCAGAGCGGACCGCCTCCTCTGGATCCGCCGACACCAACTTCTATGAAGAAATGGACTTATCTTATATAAACATAAATCCAATAGTCACGTGTTAATTCGATTTGATATTTATTGTGTGGATACAGCCATGTATATTAACAGGCTCGATAAGTATTATCCGAAACAACTAGGTCTTGGGGTGGGGGTGAATGTTTTTAAGAACGACGTCTCCTCAATTGCCACTTTAAGTTATTCGAACTGCCAAGGAATGGCGGTAAAAACAACTTTCTTTATTGACTAGACACAACCATTGAAAACTGACCCGAACCCAGTAAGTAAAACGAAAATGAAATAAAACACAAGAGGAACAACTAGACGAGAACGGAAAAAGAAGCCGTTGCGAAGTTAATGTACGGAACTTTAGCTTTTTATATGAAGTAAGAAATCGAACGAGATAACAGTAAATCGTCCACCGGCTTCTTTAGGAGACCGACACTACACCGACTGCGTACTGGTGTCCTATGCGAAGAGTCCCTCGTTTTTATTGATGACTTATAAGAACACGGGAAATAGATAAGGATGAGTGTGAGTTAACGGGTGGAAAGCGTAAACGGTTTGGTAAGTCTGATATCGTAAAAACTATCCGACAAGTATATATTGTGGAAAGCAGTTTATGGCTTTTCTTTCCAACAGATTTGCGTCTAGAACTGTACGGAGACGGCGACTAAGACATTGAACAAATCACCCCAGGAGTTATAATAACGAAAAACAAACCAAAAAGGAGGAGAAAGACTGAAGAGGCGACGGAAGGACGGGAAAAATAATAACCAGAGAGGAAGCCGTTATATAAAAATCTTAGTGCCCCGCAGAGTTGTCTATTGTCTGCTTTTGTTAACCCCAACCTCGTTCTTGAGAAAATAACTGGACATGATCGGGTATGTTAAAGTCGTTACAGGCTAAGAGATTCTTTCACATAATGCTATCATTAGATCGCTCTATGCGACCATGCGGTGTTTTTGCCCGGATTACTCATCAATCACATTTGCTGCCGTTAAAATGTCTACCATCACGGCGTAGGGGCCAAGGGGAGATCGATTTTTCTTGTCAATATGTAATTCATTTTGACGACATATTTCAAAGAGTGAGTCGGCGTAGGGACTTAACTGTCGGCGACCGATAAGCATTGGAATAAAAGAGTCAGCAACTGTCAGAGAATCATTGTCTCTAGCCAATCGTATTTGCTCCTGTATTCTTTTACGGACGATCTTTTTTTTACTATTTCAACCAAGCAAGGTGAAAAAGCCACTAGGACGCAAGGATTACTGAAAGTGAAAAAAAGCGAGGTAACGTTACAGAGCAGAAAGGATGATCAAAGAATAGGGCTCAAGCAGACAGATGAAGACGATTGACGTTGCATTTAATTTTTGGAAGATCGTAGTTAACAAGATGTTTCCGCAGCAACAAAGACGCCAGAAGGGGGTTCCGCGGCAACAAAGACGCCAGAAGAAGGTTTCTGCGGCAACAAAGACGCCGGAAGAAGGTTTCTGCGGCAACAAAGACGCCGGAAGAAGGTTTCTGCGGCAACAAAGACGCCGGAAGAAGGTTTCCGCGGCAACAAAGACGCCAGGAAGAAGGGTTCCGCGGCAACAAAGACGCCGGAAGAAGGGTTCCGCGGCAACAAAGACGCCGGAAGAAGGGTTCCGCGGCAACAAAGAAACCGGAAGAAGGGTTCAACAAAGACGCCGGAAGAAGAGTTCCGCGGCAACAAAGACGCCAGAAGAAGGGTTCCGCGGCAACAAAGACGCCGGAAGGGGGTTCCGCGGCAAAAACGCAAGAAGGTGGTTCTACGGGCAAGAAGTACGAAAGAAAGTAATATTAGCGTAGAAATTACGCTTACGTGTAGCAATTTCAACAGTAAAATATCGAAAACTACCGATCTAGTACGACGCTGAAATGAATGAAGTCTAAGTACGAAAGAGGAAATCTCACTAAAAAGATAACCACGAAAATCGAGGAATGACAAAACTACGGGGGAGGCATGATGCCGATAGGCTAGGTTGGGACCTATAACATTGCAGATTCTCCATTGTCAAGAATTTCCAGGGCACCAGAGCAGCTTACTGCAATTACGTACCTTAGAAGGATGCTGAGGATACCATTGGCCGAATATCTGAGTAACGACAAAGTTTTAGGGAAAATGGAAACCAAAAAGGACACTTAACATCAAAAAGAAGCAATTGAAATTTCTAAGGCACATAATAAGGAAAGAGGTATTGGAAAGACAGATTTAAATAAGGGAAAAACAACGCATAACCTACGTAGCGAGCTTGAGTAAGTAGATGGTGGGACAGGGTTTGGGAGAGATAATGGAATGACATCGTAAACGTGGAAGATTTAAGTAGGTACCTCCACGAGATCGCTAAAAAAAGAGCATAGCATGATGAAAAAGACGCCAAACTTGACGAAAACAAAATTTTATCGTCTAAATGTTTGTTATTATTAAGAGGAAAGGTCAAAGTATTTTTGGGGTATTTTTTTCCATTTTTTAATCGTTCCTAGCACGTCCGAAATTTTCATTAAAAATCTAGTTTTTTTTGAGTCAGCAAAATTGACCATTTTTTTCCATTTAAAAAAAAAATGGAAATCTGACTTTGAAATTTTTTAAATATCAATTATCATTTTTTCAAAACTTATTTTAAGAAAATCAGAAATTATAATGTTTATTTAAAATATTTTGAACCAAACTTAACTTAGCTTTTGTGCCAAAAAGATGTAATTTGAAAATAAAACAAAGCAGGTCATAAACTTTCGCGTCTCTTGACATGTGATGAATGATATATTTACGAATTCCATGAGGCTAATTTGTTCTACGGAAGGAGAAAAGTGAAATAATTTACATTTACGTGAACAAATTATTTACCCCGTTATTTTTAACGAAAACTTTCAGCGGTCTAATTTTTTTTTTTTTTTTTGTACTTAGCTTTCACCTTTACGTTTATGATGCTTTATGGGAAATATATTGTAAAGAAATTAAAATAAAACTGTTAAGAGTGACATTAAATTTCATATTTCTTAAGAAAGGTATCTAATTAATTTATAGGTACCTTTCTTATGAAATTTTATCAGAATTGTACATAAAATACTATAATTTTATGTACATTTATTACATTCTACTGTTATTTGTATTTGCATTCATTTTTATTAATTTTGATATTTCATTTATGGAAAAATGTCGTAACTGAGATTAATATAAAAATAAGATCATATAAATTTCATAAGATGATACTGATACTTGTAGGTACCCTTCTCAGTTGAAATTGAAAAATCAAATTAACTTCTCCACACGTGTTTCGCAAAAAAAGTAAAGGCCTTAACAGCGGAGAACAATGCTTAACTCAAATAACGCAACTTAATTATATTCTGGTTGGTCTTCCGTATTTTATAATTACAGCTCGATTATAAGCACAAAATTACATTTCTTAATTACTGGGGATCTTCTGATTAGTCAAAATGATACAATTTACAACGCGCTAAAAAAAGATCTATCTCATAAGGACACTTATGAAAGCCGATGCGGCTTTTAACTAATTTTATAATATTTTAACAACTTAAATGTAAAATCTATTATAATTAATGAAATAACAAATAATTGTATTAAAAATTCATTTTTCATCGAAAAAATTTTTTTTGCTTTCAGAAAATATTGTCCATATTCATAAAAACAACTAAAAGCAAATAAAAGCATTTGAAATTAAATAATATATTTGTTTTATTGAGTTTTGTATGTTACAATTCAGAGCTGATTTTCAGGTACTGCGTATCCAATTAAAAAAAAAAAAACATGATTTGCATTCCTCAAAGCCCTGTGCTTTTAATTATTGTAATCACTAAAACCGATGCGATCGAATTTCTAGCGTTTTCATAAAATTAGTTATGGGGGGGGGAATAAATATTTTTAAAAAATATTTCTACCATGACTTTCATAAAAAAAACATATTTATAATAATTTCGATCATCTGTGAATAGTTTCTGAAAGTTTCATTAACATCCGATAATTATTTCTATTTTTGCACGATTTTTCAAATTAATGTGTGTCATACCAAAAAAACGTGCTAAAATTGTCTATGTTATTTACTAGTTCCGCTGATACAAATAGAAAAAAGGTTTTTTTTAAAAAATTTAGAATTTTCTAAAAGAAGGAAAATTTTTTAAAATAATTAAAAAAAAAAACTTTGGTCTTTCCTCTTAATAATAACATAAGCATTTAGACAATAAAATTTAGTTTTCGGCAAGTTTGGCGTCTTTTTCATCAAGCTATGCTCTTTTTTTAGCGATTTCGTGGAGGTGCCTATAAGAGTTACAAAAGCCAGGAATTGTGGAGAGCCATGATTATCAACGTCTTTAAGAGACATGGCACATAAAATAAATAAAAGATGACAGTGTCTTCTTACCTTCATTACAGAGATGACATTTGCTTACCTTGGCATATTTTTTATTGTTTGATTACTAGTGATTCTATTTCCTTTCTTCAATGCTCCCATTCTCAGTATTAGGATTAACATCGTTGTATTAGCAGCGATTAATATCAATTATGCTATATTGTAATGAATCGTTCAGGCAAAAACACACACACAAAATTGCTATCAAAATAGCCTTAGTATTTAAATAATTGAGAAGTGTCAAACAGACGACGGACAATATGATAGAAATCCTAACAACAAAAGATGCCTTTCAATATTTAAAATTATTATAAGGAACAAAGAAATGTTTACTGAATTTCGATGTAACAAATTTTCCTGTATGGCAGTGAAATCTGGGTAATTCCATTGCAAATGAAGAGGCAACAAATATCTGGTTCTACCGAAGAATGCTGAGAATACTATAGATGGAACATGATAAAAAAAAAAAATTTTTGAAAAAAAAGTAGAATCAAAAAAAAAAAAAACAAAAAAAAAGAATCAAAAAAGCAAAAGGAACAAAAAGAAGAAACAAAAAGCAGAAACATAAAAGAGAAACAAACAAAAAAGCAGAATCAAAAAGGAAAAAGAAACAAAAAGCAGAATCAAAAAAAAAGAAAAGAAACAAAAAGCAGAAACATAAAGGAGAAGAAACAAAAAAGAAAATCAAAAAAAGAAAAGAAAAAAAAGCAAAAACATAAAAAGAAGAAACAAAAAGCAGAATCAAAAAGGAAAAGAAACAAAAAAAAAGAAAAAAAGAAACAAAAAGCAGAAACAAAAAGCAGAAGAAAAAAAAAAGAAACAAAAAGCAGAATCAAAAAGGAAAAAAGTAAAGCAAAAAAAAAAAAAAGAAACAAAAAGCAGAATCAAAAAGAAAAAAAAAAAAAAAGCAGAAATCAAAAAAGGAAAAAAACAAAAAAGCTGAATCAAAAAAGAAAAAGAAACAAAAAGCAGAAGAAAAAGGAAAAGAAACAAAAACAATCAAAAAGGAAAAGAAACAAAAAGCAGAAACAAAGGAAAAGAAACAAAAAAGCTGAATCAAAAAAAAAAAGAAACAAAAAGCAGAAACATAAAGGAAAAGAAACAAAAAGCAGAAACAAAAAGGAGAAGAAACAAAAAGCAGAAACAAAAAGGAGAAGAAACAAAAAGCAGAATCAAAAAGAAAAGAAAAACAAAAGCAGAATCAAAAGAAGAAAAAAAAAAAAAGGAAAGCAAGAAAAGAAACAAAAAGCAAATCAAAAAAGAAGAAACAAAAAGCAGAAACATAAAGGAAAAGAAACGAAAAGCAGAATCAAAAAAAAAAGAAAATCCTTAAAAGCAGAATCAAAAAGGAAAAAAAAAAAAAAGCAAGAACATTTAAGGAGAAGAAACAAAAAGCAGAATCAAAAAGGAAAAGAAACAAAAAAAAAAATCAAAAAAAGAAAAAAAAACAAAAAAGAAAAAAAATTTTGGTAGAATCAAAAAGGAAAAAAAGAAAAAAAAAAAGCTGAATCAAAAAGGAAAAAAAAACAAAAAAACTGAATCAAAAAAGAAAAAAAAGCAATTCAAAAAAAAAAAAAGAAACAAAAAGCAGAATCAAAAAAAAAACAAAAAAACAAAAAGGAATTTTCAAAAAATCAAAAAGAAACAAAAAAAGAATCAAAAAAAAAAAGAAAAAAAAAATCAAAAATGAAAAAGAAACAAAAAAGCAGAATCAAAAGGAAAAAAACAAAAAACTGAATCAAAAAGGAAAAGAAACAAAAATTGAATCAAAAAAAAGAAACAAAAAGAAAAAAAAAGCAAAAAAGAAACAAAAAAAAGGAAAAGAAAAAGAAAAAAAAGCAGAATTGAAAAGGAAAAAAAAAAAAAAAAGCTGAATCAAAAAAAAAAAAAAAAAGCAGAAAGGAAAAAAGGAAAAAAAAAAAAAAATCAGAATCAAAAAAGAAAAAGAAACAAAAAGCAGAATCAAAAAAAAAAAAAAAAAAGAAACAAAAAGCAGAATCAAAAAAAAAAAAAAACAAAAAAAAGAATTTAAAAAAGAAAAAAAAAAAAAGCTGAATCAAAAAAAAGAAAAAAAAATAAACAATCAAAAAGAAAAAAAAAAAGGAAAAAGGAAAAAAAAAGAATGAAAAAAAAAGAAAAAAAAAAAAAGAAAAAAAAAACAAAAAGCAGAATCATAAAAGGAAAAGAAACAAAAAGCTGAATCAAAAGGAAAAAAAAAAAAAAAGAATCAATCAAAAGAAAAAAAAAAGAAAAAAGGAAAAGAAAAAAAAAAATCAAAAAGAAGAAACAAAAAAGAAAAAAGAAAAAAAGAAAAAAAGAAAAAAAAATTGAAAAAAAAGCTGAATCAAAAAGGAAAAGAAACAAAAAGCTGAATCAAAAAGGAAAAGAAACAAAAAGCAGAATCAAAAAGGAAAAGAAACAAAAAGCAGAATCAAAAAGGAAAAGAAACAAAAAGCAGAATCAAAAAGGAAAAGAAACAAAAAGCAGAATCAAAAAAAAAGAAAAGAAAAAAAAGCAAGAAAAAAAAAGAAAAAAAAAAAAAAAAAAATAAAAAAGCAGAAAAAAAAAAAAAGAAACAAAAAAAGAATCAAAAAAGAAAGAAACAAAAGCAGAATCAAAAAGGAAAAAAACAAAAGCAAGAATCAAAATCAAAAAGAAACAAAAAGCAAAATCAAAAAAAAAAACAAAAAAGCAGAATCAAAAAAGAAAAGAAACAAAAAAGCTGAATCAAAAAGGAAAAGAAAAAAAAAAATCAAAAAAAAAGCAAAAACAAAAGCAAAAAATCAAAAAAAAAAATCAAAAAAAAGCAGAATCAAAAGGAAAAAAGAAACAAAAAAGAGAATCAAAAAGGAAAAGAAACAAAAAAGCTGAATCAAAAAGGAAAAGAAACAAAAAGCAGAAACATAATAAATTGAAGAAGAAACAAAAGCAGAATCAAAAAGCAAAAGAAACAAAAAGCAGAATCAAAAAAAAAAAAAAAACAAAAAGCAGAAAAAGAAAAAAAAAAAAAGAAACAAAAAGCAAAAAGAAACAAAAAAGCAGAATCAAAAAGGAAAAGAAACAAAAAAAAGCTGAATCAAAAAAGCAGAAGAAACAAAAAGCAGAATCAAAAAGAAAAAAGAAACAAAAAAAGCAGAAAAAAAAAAAAAAAAAAAAAAGCAGAATCAAAAAAGAAAAAAGAAACAAAAAAGCTGAATCAAAAAGGAAAAGAAACAAAAAGCAGAATCAAAAAGGAAAAGAAACAAAAAGCTGAATCAAAAAGGAAAAGAAACAAAAAGCTGAATCAAAAAGGAAAAGAAACAAAAAGCAGAATCAAAAAGAAAAGAAACAAAAAGCAGAAGAAACAAAAAGCAGAATCATAAAGGAAAAGAAACAAAAAGCTGAATTAAAAAGGAAAAGAAACAAAAAGCTGAATCAAAAAGGAAAAGAAACAAAAAGCAGAAACATAAAGGAGAAGAAACAAAAAGCAGAATCAAAAAGGAGAAGAAACAAAAAGCAGAATCAAAAAGGAGAAGAAACAAAAAGCTGAATCAAAAAGGAAAAGAAACAAAAAGCTGAATCAAAAAGGAAAAGAAACAAAAAGCAGAATCAAAAAGGAAAAGAAACAAAAAGCAGAATCAAAAAGGAGAAGAAACAAAAAGCAGAATCAAAAAGGAAAAGAAACAAAAAGCAGAATCAAAAAGGAAAAGAAACAAAAAGCTGAATCAAAAAGGAAAAGAAACAAAAAGCAGAATCAAAAAGGAAAAGAAACAAAAAGCTGAATCAAAAAGGAAAAGAAACAAAAAGCAGAATCAAAAAGGAAAAGAAACAAAAAGCAGAATCAAAAAGGAAAAGAAACAAAAAGCAGAATCAAAAAGGAAAAGAAACAAAAAGCAAAATCAAAAAGGAAAAGAAACAAAAATCAGCAAAAGACAAAAAACAAGAAAAATAAATATAAGAAAAAATGTCTTCATCTACTCTACTGTCACAGCTGTTAGGTTTCGCCCATCGATTATTATTGATTATCGTTCAATGTGGAAATACTTTTTTTGAGTTACATCTCCAGGGTCCAACCATGCTCCAATTTATGCCCTGTCTTTTATGTGAAGTGTAGATAAAGTTGATTCGTGCTAAAAGGCCAGAAGAACATTGACAATTGAGAAAAAAAAAAAAAAAAAAAAAGACAATATAGGAATTGCGGGTTTTGTCACCTCGGCTTCAGAACGGGGGGGGGTGAGAAATTTGTACTGAAATTTTGGTTCGACGACTGTCTCTATAATTTCACAACATGTGTAGATTTGCACTTAAAGGAAATAAATAATTACTACATAGCTTGCGTCATGAATAATTTTCGTTTTTGGAAACCAATTGTCATGGCTAATGTATCATTACTAATGTGTGTCAGTTAAGAATAAAAGCAGTGGATTGACAAGAATAAATCTTTACATCCGACCCTAAAAGCAGAGCTTCTTGTAAGAAAACTAATGTTGGGTGTGTGTGTGTATGGGGTGGGATCATTGGGGTATATTCATTTAAAGGTATTCAAACCCAGTGAAAGATCAAATTGCCCATTTATAAGTACTTAATAAAGTTTGATGAAAAAGCGCCCTGCTAACCTCAATCCAAAAAATGTCTTCCTCGATGACAACGCAGAGTCACGCATATCAAGGATAACACAAGAAAACATTATGGAACTCGGCTGGTCTGTTCTCTCCCACCAGCCATATTCACATAACCTTGCTTCAATTAGCTTTTTCGAAAGCTACTTCAGTGATGAAAGAACTCTAATAAAAACTAGATTCAAGACTTTGCCGAAAACTTATTAATATCAAAACCTGCGGAATTTTACTAAAAAGTTATCGAAGTGATAAGTCATAGCAAATAATGGTGAAATTATTTATGACTCAAGAGAAGATCTATTTCTTATCAATATCCAACACATGCCTAAGTTAATAGAGTATAATAAAAATAAATTGCTTTTGGTACTATATGTATAACGTATGTTGATAAGATCATAATGGCCAGTGATTGTCCGCAATCATAGTTTGGGTCTATGTCAGAAATATATGTGTTAGCTAGTTTCTTTTTAAAACAGCAACCTCACTCAGTTCTTGAAGATGTAGCATGGATTAGGAGAGAGAAAGAAGGAGAGATAAAGAACGAGAAGGAGAGAGAGCGAGATAAAGCGAGAGGGAGAGAGAGCGAGAGAAAGCAAGAGGGAGAGAGAGCGAGAGAAAGCAAGAGGGAGAGAGAAAGCAAGAGGGAGAGAGAGAAAGCAAGAGGGAGAGAGAGAAAACAAGAGGGAGAGAGAGAGAAAACAAGAGGGAGAGAGAGAAAACAAGAGGGAGAGAGAGAAAACAAGAGGGAGAGAGAGAGAAAGCAAGAGGGAGAGAGAAAAAGCAAGAGGGAGAGAGAGAGAAAGCAAGAGGAGAGAGAGAGAAAGAAAAGAGGGAGAAAGCAAGAGGGGGAGAGGGGGAAAGCAAGAGGGGAGAGAAAAGCAAGAGAGAAAGCAAGAGGGGAGAGGGAGAGAGAAAGCAAGAGGGGAGAGGGAGAGAGAAAGCAAGAGGGGAGAGGGAGAGAGAGAAAGAAGAGGGGGAGAGGGAGAGAGAAAGCAAGAGGGGGAGAGGGAGAGAGAGAAAGCAAGAGGGGGATGGATGGAGGTGAGAAAAAAGAGAGAGGGAACAAGATGGAGGCGGACAGAGAGAGAGAGAGACCCCAAGAAAGAGAGAGAGAGACCCCAAGAGAGAGAGAGAGAGAGAAAGACCCCGTGAGAGACCCCAAAAGGGAGGGAGAGAAAGAGACCCCAAGAGGGAGGGAGAGAGAGAGAGACCAAGAGGGAGGGAGAGAGAGAGAGACCAAGAGGGAGGGAGAGAGAGAGAGAGAGAACAACCTCACTGTGCCGTTTGACCGCTGCCTCCAACCATGTACGTTGTACAATAGTTGCTTCAGGAGAAGCAAAGAGAGACAAGAAAAAGGAGAGCGTGAATCCTTTGGGATTGCCTTTGTATAAGGCTTGCTTAACTGTTCTGAGCAAAGTTAATCGTGGTGTGATTGTCTTGGGTCAAGTCTCAAGAGCGATTAAATTGAATGGAAAACGAATCACTGTATTTCAAAGGAATAACAGTCACTGCAAGATTTTGCATTGCGCATGTAATTACCGTGGCCTATCAATGTTGTGCGCGTGCGTGTGGGTGTGATAGAGTATCATTTGGAGAATGTCTATATTATTATTATAGAGTTCGCGCGTATATTTATTTGCGTTATGATTTGTCTGTAGAACTGTGAGAGTTAGTTTATCGATTGTGAAGAATAGAAACTGTGATATATCTGGGTAGATTTCTCACCCATGGTGCGTGACAGATTTTGTAACATCTGCAGCGGCCTATCCTTTTCTTCGTCATTCGAGTTAGCTTTCAATATTTCCTCGGAGTTAAACTCGTAATTCTTTTTGATAAAAAAAATCATATATATATATATATATATATATATATATATATATATATATATATGTGTGTGTGTGTGTGTGTGTGTGTAATAAAATTTTCTATTAAAGTAAGTAAATAAATAGCTAACTTAAATGGTATTTATATGATTTTATTTTTAAAATTTAGATCCGGGTTATTTTCACTTTTAAAAAAAAAAAAAAAAAAAAAAAGGAAAGAAAAAGAAGATATTATACCAAACGCTAACGATTGGCTGCAGTTTGTAAAGTTAAGGAAGTTTGACATGAAAGCCGATATTTGAAAAAGATTTGTTCGACGTAATTATTATACGAATTGAAATCATTTCGATAAGCAAAGCTTTTCCTTTTCTATTTTAAATAAAGTTACCTTTAGACCGAGGCGTTAAATGAATTTTTGAAAAAAAATAAAAAAAATAAAAATAAAATAAAAATAATGAATACAAAAATAAAATTAAAAATAAATTAATATTTAAAAAAAGAAAAGAAAAAATCAATTGCATTCACTTTATGCATTACTTTAACGTGGTCTCTATTTGTGATACGAGAAGCTAAAAGTAATGAAAGTTTTGCCCGAGGTTCATGATAGATAAATTGCATATTCGCCGTCCATTTTCTTTTTCTTTATTTAGCACAAGAGAAAGAAAGATCCAGAGAGCAAGTAACAAAGAAAGAAAGAGCGGAAGAATTGCTAGAAACTTAAACTTCTAACAAAAGGATAAATGCCATGAATCGTGACCGCGAGTTTTCCAGATTTAAACTAGCGAATCGTTTTCATTAAGGCGGTGTGAATAAGCGCTTTTCTTTAACATTATTACAATTTTACTTTGCCGCAGAAATTATATTCGAATATTTTCAAATTTTACTTTTCATGCGCATGCGTCTGCCCAGCCAACCTTGTTCACGCGTGCGCATGGTTACACGCCAGCGTACACACAGATGGATATAAATATCCGTTTATACAGTTATGTTCATTCACGTTCGTGCATGAAAAACGAGCAAAATATAATAAATTGAACATACACATATGGAAAAAAAAATGAGAAAGGAAATCGGAAACGTTATCAACAAAAAGCCAGAACTTAGAAAAATCGAAAGGAAATACATCAAAAAGTCTATAAACACTGCCAGGAGATATTGACTCATTTTGAAACGTTCTTAGAAAATTTTAAAAAAAGTATCCAGTCCTTTATTTTTTTTTTTTAACTTCATCGTAATTCAGTACTCAGCCTCTTGTTTTTGTCGACTACTAACAGAAAATACCTTGTCGTGAATAAGCCGTCAGCAAACATCCCCTAAGCTCCTAACACGCTAGATTTATCGTTTCATGTCTCTACGCCTCCGATCTGGCTCGGGGGCCCAATTTTAAAATGCGTCTTAATTCTAGCTTTGATTGATGGATTAACTTATTAATAAGAAGAATAAAGAGAATAAAAGATACATCGAGGCACTCACAGAAACAACAAAGACCGATCCGAAGCCAAACGATAAGATTCTTTGCTAACCAAAATAACATCCACAGGATCTTTCTCTCTCTCGGATTTTTTTTTTATATGTTTCAGTAAAAATAAATTATTTAAATGACTTTCCCCTTTTTCACTCCCTCCGCAATGCTGATAAACTATTCTCCCCTTCACATCCTGCCTCTACATCCCACCTCAAAAAAGTGTTCGCGACATTATTCAGTGTGACGCTTATGAAATTATCCAGTAATGGTATTCAAGCCTTCTGCATCTCGATCTATAATAATAAATTTAGATAAGATAATAATTAAAAGATTTCTATTCAAACATCAAGTTGACCAGGAAAAGTTATTTATTAAGTTTTTAAAGTTTTGAAAATTCAAATTTAGAAAATTTAAATCCGAGAAACTTTATGGATAAAGTGCAGACCGTCTGCATAGAATGCAGAAAGAATTATACACATATATAAAAATGCAAGCGGGGGCCCCCACAAAAATAGGGGTTTCGGGGTGACAGCAGATGCTTATAGTGATGTAGGGCGAAATCCTAAGTGAAGTTTGAAAGATTTTAGATTTCTAATAAATCATCTGAAAAAAAAAAAAATTAACATTTTTTTTTATATTGTAAACATTTTTCATTTTCATTTAAAACACATTGTTTACACTTATTTTCTGGAAATAAACCCATAGACTTCTTCTGCATACAAGACAAATATAAAAACTTTTATGAACTAATATCGTTGTTTACAATACCTATAGTAGTAGTAATAATATTTTTTTCTGAAATGAGGAGATACGGTTTCTTGCATGCTAAAAGTCCATGAATCAAAAGGGGGTCCACACACAGAGCCCGCGAAAAGAGAAATGAAACATGTTCTGATTGAGACAGTCACCATGTAGTGCTGATCCTTATGTCCATATTGTCTAATAGCAGTAATGATTTGAGACAAATGATACAGCTCAGCTTGTAAACTGCCACAGATTGAGGCTAAGAGTAAAAAAAAATTGTCTTCAGTTCTCATTTCCAGCAAAAAGTGACGAGTTTCAGCCACCCACTATAGCGTCGTGGACGATATATGTTATGTCCATCGCTAGGGAATGGACAGTTCCAATGACGTTTGTCGTCCATCTCTATGTAACAATGACGTAGTGATAATAGAATTTTATATTACGTTGAAATTGAGAAACTCCATAATTATTCAATGCTAAACAGAATTTTATTTCTTTAGTTTAATCTTTGAACATAAAGAAAAGACTATAGACAATGATCTTTATATTTTACAAGTACATTGTAGTTACTAAAATTACTTAAATTCTGCAGCCGTTATTTCTTTAGGAGTCAAATTCAAAGTCAGAAAAAGACAAGTGAAATTCCTTGGACACATAATGAAAAAGGTGAGATTGTGAAACTTAACCTCCACGGAGCAGATTGAGAGCAATAGAGAGAGAGAGCGTGCAAGAGAGAGAGAGAGAGCGTGCAAGAGAGAGAGAGAGCGAGCAAGAGAGAGAGAGAGCGAGCGAGAGAGAGAGAGCGAGAGCGAGAGAGAGCGAGAGCGAGAGAGAGCAAGCGAGAGCAAAAGAGAGAGCAAGAGAGAGCAAAAGAGAGAGTCGGAAGCAGCGGGTCACTTATCTGACGAACTTATGGATAAATAGTAAACTGCGTTAACAAAGGGAGAGGAACTGCTAAAAGCCCCATGAGATAGAAAGTTGTGGAGAACCATGATCGCCAATGACCTGAAGGGACGCGGCACACAGAAGAACAAAAAAAATAAAGCTCTACCTAAAGTAAACTATAAAACATACTTCCAAGCAATAAAAATGTTCACCTAAAATCCCCATTGAGGATAAAATTAACAAACATAGAATTAATAAAATACTTTCAAGTTTTGCTTGTTAAACAATTATTACCTAAAATGCATTTTTCGGAGTTACCATATTTGACGGTATATAAAGCTCTCCGAGTGCACCTCGACACGGTGTAATGGTTAGAAAGCTTGTCTTGCTAGATCAATTACGAGTGAATTCGATCCTCACTGGGTACCCCATACTTTCGGCCTTGTGCCACATCTAAGCTGTGCTTAGAAAATCACTATAAAGTTCTCCGAATTATTCAGTAAGACGATATAAACGTATTGGTAATCAATTGCAACTAATTCACATATAAAATCCGGGATATATTTTCAGTCCATTTTTTGGATCAGGGGTGGGCAAATGTTTTTACATGGAGAGTCGCCTCATTATTGGTCGTATGTAAAAAAAAAAAAAAAAAAAGTTTCACAGCGACAATGTAAATAACAATTATATACATGCAAATTTGGGTACCTTGATGTGGTGTAATGTTGAGTAAACTTGGATTGCTAGATCAATTACGACTGAATAACGAGTTCGATACTCACCGGGTGACCTACAGAAAAAAAAAATCAGACCCGCGCATATTATTTGTATATTACAAAAATATATTAAAGAAAGATACTGTATTAAAAATTGTGTGATATCAAGAACATTCAACTTTACCACCATTATAACAATGCTTCCTTGTGCAGTTTCTGTACATTTGTTCATGGCATTTGTTCTGATGAGCTTTCCACTTTGATACCGCGACGTCACAAATTTAAGCGTAGTACTAGATTGGCAGTTAGGTCCCATCATTTTACAGTTGAAATTTCTCGATAAAACTCACTTCTGTTCTAATAGTTTATTCTCTTGCAGTTCTCTCCTGTGCGACTACTATCTACAAAATTGTAAATGCGACGTCAATCGTCTTTTTGAATCCTGTTCTTTTATTTTCATTTCTCTTCACAAAAATTTTATTTTTTTTATAACTATATCACCCCAAGCGAGGCGATAATGCTACTAAGACCTAAAGGGTTACTGGGAGTGAAATGGATAGAGAAGAATTAGCCAGGAGAAAGGACAATAAAAGAACAGATTTCAGAGAAATAATAGATGGCGAATGAAATTGAATTTAAATTTTTTAAAGATTGTTACTGAATTCAAGATGTCAGATCAACACCGGTGACATTACAGACCGTTCTAGCGTTTTAGTAGGATCTCTGTGAATATGCGGTATTATAGTATGTGTGAGAGAGTCTGGGAAACACACACACACACGGTTATTTTTTTTAGTGAAATTGGAGTAGATTTGAATATCGAAATTAAATCAGAGCATTTTGTTTACTGATGGGGAAATAGGATCTAGGGCAGAAGTTGTACCCATTGAATCTGGGTCATCAGTTGACAATGGAAATGGTCGAAATAACTTTTATCGATTAAAAATTGAAATAGA